CCGCCGCCCCCTGCCTTTTGGAAGCGCCTATGTGGCCGAACGTTGAGGCCAGACCTGCCAAGCCATCGGACCATGTGTTCCCCGAATCGGTTTGGAAAGCCTTCGGGGAACACGTGGGCATCTTGAAGGTCATCTTGGCCGTCTTGGAGGCCTATTGGGCAAGCTTTCGGCGATCTTTGTGGGCTCTTGGGCCGTCTCGGGCCGTCGGAAGGCCGAAAACAGGAAATGACAAAATCCGTCAAACACCTTAGGAACATCAATGTTTTTGGCTTCTTCTGGCCTTCCTGGAGGCCCTCTTCGGGGGCCTCTTGGGCCGTCTTGGGCCAGCTTCGAGCCAAATTCGGCCATCTTGGTGGGTTCCTGGCACGTCTGACGCCGTCGGGAGCCGTCTTGGGGGCCTTTCTGGGCCAATGGAGGACCCTCTTGGAGCGCTTCGGGGCAGTCTTGGAGGCCATCTTGGGCGTCTTGGAGGCCATCTTGGGCGTCTTGGAGGCCGTCTTGGGGCCCTCTTAGGGCCATCTTGGAGGCCATTTGGACGATCTTGGGGGCCTCTTGGGCCGTCTTGAGCCGTCGGAATGCCGAGAAGAAGCAAATTCCCAAATCCTGCAAAAACTTATAAAACTCAATGATTTTGGCCTCTTCGGGCCCTCCTGGAGGACCTCTTGGAGGCCTCTTGGGCCGTCTGGGAGGCCTCTTGGGGGCCTCTTGGGCAGTCTTGGACTCTCTTGGACCGTCTTGGACGCCGTCTTGGACCATCTTGGGCGGACTCGGAGGCCATCTTGGGCCATCTTCGCAAAGTTTTGAGGATGTCCCGAGCGAAACGGCCGTTTCAGGGAGGATTGTTCGTGGAGTTTGCGGTCCTGGAAGAGCCTCCCGGTACCTCGGCGGGACGGGCCGAAACCCGCTGGGAGAGTTCTTTTGGAAAAAGAACCAAAACCAAAACCGAAAGGGTCAAGCACGCCAGGCACCCCTGCGATGAATCGACAGGGGGCGGCGGATCGAAGACGCCTACGGCGAATCACCGCCGCCCCCTGCCTTTTGGAAGCGCCTATGTGGCCGAACGTTGAGGCCAGACCTGCCAAGCCATCGGACCATGTGTTCCCCGACTCGGTTTGGAAAGCCTTCGGAGAACACGTGGGCATCTTGAAGGTCATCCTGGCCGTCTTGGAGGCCTCTTGGGCGAGCTTTCGGCGATCTTTGGGGGCTCTTGGGCCGTCTCGGGCCGTCGGAAGGCCGACGCCAAATAGAGAGCGATCGGTAACGCAAAAAGCTCCTCACACCAAGGCTCCCAAGAGCGAACGGTGACGTAAACAAGCTGATAAGACCAAGGCTCCCAGCAGAGAGCGGTGACGTAACAAGTTCCTGACACCAAGGCCCAGCCAAGGCTCAGGAACGGGCGGCAACGCAACAATCTCTGAACAAGGCTCCCAAGAGCGAGGGGTGACGTAACAAGCTCTCAACGCCAAGGCTCCCGATACGAACGGTGGTGTGAGTAATTTCGGTTTCTGTTTCTGAAGCGCTCTTTCCGTTTCTGTGCCGGGCCAGGTGACGGAAAGCGCGCGTTAGCGTGCGGTCCGTTAGTCGGGAGAAATTGGACTTGGGGGAGTTCGAGGGGGGTGGCATCGCCAGGCCCGGATCTAATTGCCCTCCCGCCTCGTTTTCTATCGAGTGACGGAAAGCGCGCGTTAGCGTGCGGTCCGTTAGTCGGAAGAAATTGGACTTGGGGGAGTTCGAGGGGGTTGGCATCGTCAGACCCGGATCTAATTGCCCTCCCGCCTCGTTTTTTATCGAGTAGGACGGCGTTCGGGGCTTAAAAACAGCGTTTCGCTCGAGACATCATCGGAGAACGCTTCTTGGGCGCTTCTTGGGCCGTCTTAGGCGCCTAAGACAGCCCAAGAAGCGCCCAAGAGGGCCCACGAGCGCTCCAAGAGAGCCCAAGACCGCCCAAGGCGGCCCCAAGACGTCCCAAGAGGCCTCCACGACGCCCCAGGAGGCGCCCACGAGGCGTCCCAAGAGGGCCCCAAGAGGCCAAACTCATTGATTGTCTCAAGGAAAACGTGCATTTTTAGCATATACGGCTGTTCGCCTTTCATGGCGTTGAAGACGGTCCAAGAGGCCCCCAAGACCGCCCCAAGACGGCCCACTATGTTTCCAAGAGGCCCCCAAAATAGCCCAAGAGGGCGCCAAGACGGGCCAAGAGGCGTCCAAGACTGTCCAAGAGGCCCCCAAGAGCGCCCCAAGAAGGCCCAAGAGGCCCCCAAGAGGGCCCCAAAACGGCCCAAGAGGGCGCCAAGACGGCCCAAGAGGCGCCAAGACGGCCCAAGACTGCCCCAGGACGGCCCCAAGAAGGCCCCAAGAGGCCCCCAAAAGAGCCCAAAGACGGCCAAAGGCAGCCTAGTCCCTTCACCCCCGCAGCCCAGAATCTCCCAGGAGGCCCCAAGAGGCACTCGAAAAGCCCCGAAAGGTCCCCAGGGGGCACCCAAAAGGCTCCCCAAGAGCCCCCCAAGAGGCCAAAAATACTCCCAAAGGCTCTTAGCACCGCGGCTCCCAAGAGCGAGCGGTAAGACCAAAGCTCCCAACAGAGAGCTGCGGCGTAATAAGTTCTTGACGCCAGGGCACAGGGACGGGCGGCAACGCGTGGACAACGAGCGGTCCGCGCAAGGAAAACGCGGGGTTCTGGAAAGCTGGCAGCCCAAACGCGGAAAACGCAACGCGACCCGACCGCCCCCTCCAAAACAAGAAACGCGCTCAAAGAAAGCTCCGCGACTCTCCGAGGCTGAGATAGGACAAGAGCGAGGGGAAGGGAGTCAATAAGAGATGTATGAGCGGACGAGCCAGCGATCCCGTGCGCTCTGAAGGTAAGTGCGCTTTCCGTCCCCGTGCCAAGCAGGTCGAATGGCCGTCGGCCCGTCCCGCCACCGTGCCTGGGTTGTGGGTATGAAGCATAATGGATGTTCGTTGGGATCTCGTGGGAAGCTTTTCTGAGGCCTCTTGGAGGCAGTTTGGACGCCTCTTGTTTTGGGGCCTCTTAGAGCCTCTTGGAGGCTTTTGGGGTCTTCGTTTGGGCCCTTTTGTGGGCCTCTTGGGGCCTCATGGGCGCCTCTTGGGGCCTCCTGGGGCCCTCTTGGGGCGGAAGGCTCGGATTTTCGGTTCGTGATCCTTCTATTGGGCTCCTTTTGTGACCCTCTTGGGGCCTTCTTGGGCGGCTTTGAGCGCCTCTCGGGCTGCCTTGTATTCATCTTGGGCCTTTCTGGGCCCTCTTGGAGGCTTCTTCGGCTGCCTTGGGGCGGTCTTGGGCATCTTGGAGCGATCGTTCGGCGACCAAGCGCCTCCTTGGACCGTCTTGGGGGTTTCTTGGGGCCCTCTTGGCCCGTTTTGGGGCCTCCAGGGCCTGAAAAAGTCACGCGGCAGATCGCGCCGCGCCCCGGCAGATTTGGGTCGAAAGGCTCCGAACCCCAAAAAGACTCCTCAGGAGTGAGGGCTGAGGCTTAGAGGGGTAGTGAGACGACCTGTGGACACGCCCACTCCTTGCCCAGAGGCACGGTGACGGATTCAGATCAGATGAGACTTCGCCGTCGCTGGGGGATTCGAACTGCGAAACTGTAGTCACTTTCGTGGGCCCCTGGAAGGTCCAGCGGAGCGACGTCCTATCCGGATCAGATGCGACCTCGCCGTCGCTAAGGGTTGCGAGCTGCGAAATGTTCTCCACTTTCGTGGTCTCCTGGGTGCGAGCTGCGGAACTGTAACCACTGTCGTGGGCTCCTGGGAGGTCCAGCGGAGCGACGTCCTATTCGGACCAGATGAGACCTCGCCGCCGCTGGAGGCTGCGAATTGCGAAATTGTCGCAACTGTAATGGGGCCCTGGGAAGTCCACCAGAGCGACGTCCTAATCAGATCAGATGACACCTCGCCGTCGCTGGGGGCTGCGAACTGCGAAACTGTCGCCTCGTTCGTGGGCCCCTGGGAAGTCCAGCAGACCGACGTCCCATTCAGATCACATCAGACCTCGTCGTCGCTGGGGGCTGCGAGCTGCGTAACTGTAACCACTGTCGTGGGCTCTTGGGAGGTCCAGCGGAGTGATGTCCTACTCAGATGGAAATTGGGTCTCGCCGTCGCTGGGGGCTGCGAACTGTGAGGCTGTCGCCACTTTCGTGTGCTCCTGCGAGGTCCAGCGGAGTGACGTCCTGTTCAGATCAGATGAGACCCCGCCGTCGCTGTGGAGTCGAGGGCGCGGACCGCACTGCTTGTCCAGCGTGCCACTGGAATATCATCGCCACCTTCCTTCCTCATCCTGCCTCTTTCGGTATCGTCCCTTTCACCCTTCCACCGTCTCCTCTTCCGTTCTTCTCCTGCCCCTCGCTCTCACCCCCATTTCATCTTCGAGCCTTGGGTTTCAGTCCTGGTCCTCATGAGTCTTGCAACGCGCGCGCATACCATATAGTTTCCACAACACATGGCGGTTCCGGTGTTGTCAGCAGCCGTCTTATCATTATCTGCAAGTGGGCTGGGTACGCCACCAGGTAATTTCATTTGGGCGCAGTTCGGGTTGGAGGTCAGGGATGCTCCCTCTGGTGCTCCCCCCCCGGTAGGCGGTATGTCTGTCGGCCCTGGACTTTCTCCGCTGCCGGTTTCTCTCAGTAGGGACCTCACTCTACGAGCCGACTGATTCCTGGAGGACTCCTGTCAACCCGCATCGTCGTACATGTCGCAGGGTGGGTCGGACCAACCATCGATGCAAGTCGTTGTACGTCGCGGGGCCAAGTTTCGTCATGGCGCGGCCCCAGCCTCAAGGGGAGCAAAAATATTTGCGCCCTGCGGTCTAGGCTGGAGCGGAGCGCCCTTCTCCATGGCGGCGGTGCGATGGCGCGAGGATGATCTCCCGGCGCCAAGCGCGAAGCAATTTGGACCAGGTAGGCCCGGCCCCTGTCGACGAGTCGGCCCGCTGCGATACGAGCGGCTGTGCCATGGCTCCCATCTGGCACCCCGGAGAGCCAGCCGAGGCCAACGGGCCGAGCGCGCAGCTGGTCGTGGCTCCGCCCGAGGACGATTGGCAGCAGTACCACCAGCGGGGCGCGGAGGAGGAAGAAGAGCCAGAGCCAGCATGGCAGGAGGAGGAGGAGGGCGCAGAGCAGGAGGACGAGGAGGACGAGAAGAGGTACGAGGAGGGGGAGCAGCAGCAACAGCAGCAGCAGGACCAGGAGGTGGAGCTGAGGAGGAGGAGGAGGAGGAGGAGGAGGAGGAGGCGGGAGCGGCCTTCCTGTGCAGGGGAGAGCAGTGTTGCGCGGAGCCGGGGAAGATTGTAGGCCCGCTCTCGTCGGTGGTCCCACATCGAGCCCACCCGACGAACACCGCAAAAGGAGCTGACCCTGAACTTGATGGCGGAAAGGCCCCAAAGGTCTCAAGAGGTCCCCAGGCGACTACCAGAGGTCGAGAAGGGACAAAAAAACGTCCTCGAGTCTCGGCGTTCGAGCCTCGAGGAGGAGGGAGGGAGGAAGGCGTGGAGGAAGAACAGAGGAGGGAACAGAAAAGGAGAGGGGGAGGGGCAAGAGGTACGTCGCTGACAACGGAGCACTGCCCCTGCAGGCAACCGCCCCTTGGAAGCTGGAGTTGTGTACGTGCGGTGCCACGTTCCAGAGCCCGTGCGGCCGGGAAGGCGCCTCCTCCTTCGGGACCCAGCTCCCAGCAGGTGTTGATCTCCCTGGGAGGTCCGAAAGAAGAGGAAGAAGAAGAAGAAGAAACAATAACGGGGAGGAGCAGTGCTCTTTCAAAGTTTCAGGGCACAGATGTGTGCGTGTGTGTTGTCCGCCGCGACTCGCACGCCCGCGCGTTCCCTCGAATGCGCAGCCGAAGGGCGCATACTACACAGGTCTCCTACTTCATGAGTTGCTCAAGAGGGTTACGCCATAAGAGGACCCTCAGAAGAAAATACGTGCGGCCTCCGATTTCGCATGTTTTTTTTGCCGCTTCCCATCGTGCTGCCCGAGTGTAGCTGGTGCTGATTCGTCACCATCCACCGCGTCTGTTGATGGGCGTCTTGGGGGCTTCTAGGAGGCCTCGGGAGCGGCCATGTGGGATCCTTTCTGAGGACTCATGGCAGCTTTGGGGGGCCCTCTGGAGGCTTATTGGGGGCATGTTTGGGGTCTTGGGAGCCATCTTTGTGCGAGGCCTCCCCGGGCCCTGCGAGTTCCACCCTCTTGGTCCTCTGGTGGGGCCCTCTTGAAGGCCTTTCTGGCCGTCTTGGGCTCTCTCTTGGGCCTCTAGTGGGCCATCTCTGGGCCCTCCTGGTGGTGGCTTGGGCCGTCATGGGCTGGCCTGGGAGGGGGCTTGCGGACCGCATAGGGCGTGCAGAGTCCCAAACATGTGAGGACGCGAAAATAAACAGCGACCTTCTGCGATCCCAATTCGGCGGCCTGAGAAAGAAGCTAAGTAAGCAAAGTATTGGTTTGCTTTGTCATTGCTTGGCATTGTGTTGCATTGACTGGCATTGCTTGACACTGTTCGACATTGCTTGTTATTGCTTTGCGTTGCCAGGCATTGCAGTTGCATTGCTTGGCGTTGCCTGGCATTGCTTTGTATTGTTTGGCATTCCTTGGCATCGATCGGGGGATTTCGGGCCTCCGAGGGCCCCAGAAGTGCATTGACGAGCTCGTCCCCCCTCCCACTCCACCCCGTCCCCCCCCCCGGCCCCGTCCCCTCTGGCATCTTGCACCCAAGGGACTCCAGGGAGGGGGAACCAGGAGGAGGGACAACCAAACGTCTCACACGCCTTTTCACAGCCAGCACGTGGGGGCCTGCGGATTACAAAAGCGGGCCTTGGGAGGAAGCAGCCCCTGGAGAAACCGGCCGTCTCTCGCTTTTCTGTGGCGCCTGGATCTGGGAGGAGGGGGCCCCGGGTCCCGCGGAGGTCGCGGGAGGTCTCCGCAGGTTTCCAGAGGTCCCGTTCCTGTATGCCTTTGGATGTCCTTGACACGGGCACAAGGAAGATCGAACACGTCCAGGATCCTCGAGCAGGCCCCACCGTCCGCAGCCTCTTGGCGGCTCGCTCACACCGGAGCAGCGTGTAGACGGGCTCGTCGACCTGCATCTAGGCCTCCCCGATGGGGCCTAGATGGGATCGGAGGAATTCTCCGCGTCACCGCATCGCCGAATCCTCCAATCCAATCTCGGAGGCCTACAGTGGAGGCCCATGCCAAGAAACACCCGACAACGACGGCGAAGCGACCTGGCGCTGCGTGAACGACGGGGCGTGCGTGGACGATAACCTGACGACGACTTGACGACGGCGCGTGCGTGAAATGGCCTGACGACGATCTGACGACGGCCTGACGACGGTCTGACGACGACGGGATTGTGAAGGTCGGCGGCGCGCCGAGTGGGGAGGTGAGAGGGGGCTGGCGTTCTCAAAAGGCGACGGGGCTTCTCGGAAGCCCTCCGGCCTGGCTTGTCAAAAGCCCTCCAGCCTTCTGAGAAGTCTCCAGGCGGTTCCAGAGAAGGCTCAGAAAGCTTCTCAGAGGACCAGAGGCTTTCCGAGCCTTCTGGGAAAGCACGCCCCCTCTGCCCTCCCCCCTGGGCGCGCCGCCGATTCTTCCGAGCCGGCGGAGGGCTTCCCTGGAAGGGCCCAGCGGCTTCGTCGCCAAGACGGCGATTTCGGCGGCGCGCGGCGGCGGCGATGGCGAGGTGTCGTCCGAGTGCCGCGGCTTCCCCCTCAGGCCCGCCGGGGGGTTTGCTAGCGCCGTCGCCGGCGTCGTCGCTGCCGTCGTCGTCGGCGGCGCCGTCGACGTCGCCGTCGACGTCGAGGATCGAGGCCTCTAGGCGCTCCTGGTCCTTCGCGGCCTCTGAAGCCTCCGTGGACCGTCGGTGCCATCGTGGTCCTCGGCGCCGCCGCCGTCGTCGTCGGCGCCGTTGACATCGTCGCCGTCGTCACCTCCAGTGGCTACGGGGCTTCCATCCACATCTTCCTCTGTTTCCCATCCCCTTTCTTCCTGGAGCCAGGCAGTGCGCGAGTCGCCCAGCTCTTTCCCAGACCAGAAGGGACAGAATCACCAGCCATAGCGCTAGACGCAAAAGCAGTAGATAGTCAACCCCACGCTCCATAGGGTGATAATTTTGTTTACCGAGCTCGGCTCATTCTTATTCAGTCCCCCCAGTACTCCCCCCTCTGAACCTTGCGGTGCGCGTTTTCCCCCACACGAGCTGGCCAGAACGATGTGCAATTCACACAAGAACGCAATATGGAGTGAAGTGAACCCGCCGTGTGGTCCAGATCCAGATCCGAGCGGACCGCTCTGCACCATCCTCACATCCCCCCATTTCCGACGTGCTTGCGAACCCCGCATGACTTGTGCTGTTTGCGGGCACCGAGGCACTTGTGACGAGTACCGCCGTGCCTGTTAACGCAACGCTGGCTGTGAGCACCGCGCTAATTGTGGGCCCCAGTGCGCTTATCATCGACAGCATGATTGTGAGTAGCGCGAGGCGCATGTACACCGATGCATCCATCGTCGCGCAGGCGATTTCCATACCTCCACCCGAGACTCGAGGGCGGTAGATGTTGCAAATTCGTATTTTCTCGTCGCGTGTACACATGACGGGCGACAGGGTCCAGGAGGCCCTTGGCCAGGACCTGGATGTCGGGGGCCGGGCCCGCTCTTCGGGGGCCCCCGAGGGCGACCAGACAGCTGTCAAGACGGCATAAGACGGCCCCGACACAGCCTCAAGACGGCCTCGAGGGGGTTCAGACAGCCCAAGAAGCGTTTCAGACTGCCTAGGAGGTGTCAAAGACTGCCCTGATCGTCAGAAATTATGTATTTACCCCAGATTACATATTCTCGCAATCATGCATCTTCGGGCTTCCGACGCTCCGAAGGGGCCCAAAAGAAGCCCCCCCCACGATTTCCCAAGGACGGACAACGAGGCTCCCACGACCGACCCCTGCCAGCCACAGAGGGCCGCGCTAAGTGATTTGGGAGGGGAGGGTCTATAGCCCTTGTTGCGGTGTGGCTCACGCGTTGTGTTCCTCGTTGGCGAGGTCGGCGATCCATTTACTTTCACTTCGTGCTTCATCCCAGAGCGCTGCTGTCAAAAAGAGTCTTGGGAACCTTGCAAGGAGGAGGAGGAGGAGGAGGAGGAGGAGGACGAGGAGAATGAGGAAGAGACAGGGGAGAGTAGGAGAAGAAGCGGGCTTCATTGCGTTGGCGCTCGAAACCCGCAGGCCTCGCAAGGCATCCCAGGCGCCCCCTCACTCTTATCAGCATTTCTGGGGGATAGTTACAAGGTCTGGCTTCGGGAATACATCCAAGGGGGATTGCCTCCTAGCTCCCCTCGTCCTCCTTCCCTTCTCCCCCCTTCTTGTGCCGCCCTCCCACATCCCCGCCCCCGCTCCCCCTCATACCCGCTCTCCTCCCCCCGTCCCCTCATCCCACATTCCCCTCTCCCCCCAACCACAGCAGGTTGTTGCGTCAGTCATCCCCTTCTCATCCTGCTGCTCGTCAGGCTGAGCCAGTTCGTGGCCTTCAATTGCGAGGCGGAGCTGTGTGGGAAGGAGAACATCAAGGACGCCGTCGGCTGCTCCTCGTCATCCTAACCCTCAACATCTCTCATTATGTCTCATCCTCACCCTGCTCCCATCATCCTACTCACCAGCATCATCATCATCATCATCATCATCATCATCATCATCATCATCATCATCATCATCATCATCATCATCATCATCAGCAGCAGCAGCAGCATCATCATCATCAGCATCATCCTCGTCGTCATCATCATCATCATTAGCAGCATCGTAATCAGCCGCATCACTATCATCATCATCATCACCACCATCAGCATCATCATCAGCATCATCATCTGCATCATCATCATTAGCATTAGCATTAGCATTAGCATGCATTAGCAGTACCATCATCATCATCATCATCAGCAGCAGCATCATCATCAATACCCTCATCCTCGTCGTCATCCGCATTACCATCGGCGTCGTCGTCTTCGTCGTCGTCATCATCCCCATCATCATCAGCAGCATCATCAGGAGAAGGAGGAGGAGAGAAGCAGGAGGAGGAGGAGGAGGAGGAGGAGGGGGGGAAATAGAGGGATGAGGAAATGAGGATAGAGCAGAGGGTGAGAGGAGGGTGTCCGCCAGGGCGAGGAGGACAGGGATAAGGACAAGCTAAACAGACTGCTAAGGCCTTGTGACCGGTGCCGCCGGCCCTGAAGACGACGACGATTAATACGAGGAGGATGAGGAGGAGGAGGAGGGGGATTAAGGTGGAAGGGAGCAGAAGAAGGCGAAGGAGATGTTCCCCATGTGGGCCGAGGGAGTCGTAGCAGAGACAGACAGGGAGCCTGGTGGCCTGCGGCCCTTCCCGCCACCGTGCTGGGGTTGTGGTTGAAAGGCCTCTTGGATGTTTTCGGGTCTGTTGGGGCCTCTGTTGGGCCTCTTGGGGGTCTCTTGGAGGCCTCTTCGGGCTCCTTGAGGGGCTCTTGGGGCCTTCCAGGGGCTTCTTGGGGCGGGAAGCTCGAAACGTCGGTTCGTGGTCCTCTTCTTGGGCTCGGGGCCTTCTTGGGGGCGTCTTGGGCACTCTTGGACCTTTTTGGGGGCGTCGTAGGGCATTCTTGGCGCGTCTTGGCGCTTTTTCGGGCTCCGGGACGCCCAGGGGCGGATGCGTATCTGACCCCCACCCCCCGGCTCCCAAGGACCCCCTCGGGACCTCCCCCCTGGCTCCCTGGGACCCCCCCGGGACCCCCCCCCCCGTCGGCGGGGGAGGGATCAAAGGGAAAGGGCATCCCTTCGACTTCAGTACGACGTTACTACGGTTTTCTCTCGCTGGCAGGCTTGAAGAGGAGGGTGCAGGGAAAGGGGACGACGGAGACGCAGGGAAAGAGGACAACGGATGCGTCGACTGAGCGCACGCCGACAGGGGGTCCACACGCCGACAGGGTCGGCGGATTCTCATGCGGGGTCCTACCGTCGGAGTAATTTTTTGGTTGCGTAACTCGTTGAACTGCGCGTTCCGATGTGTTGGTGCGTTTTGTCTTGCTCGAAAGATGGAGTGCTGATCTTCTTCAAAACGGGGTGTTCGCCTGACTGGCAATTCCATGGGGCGTTGGTATTTCAGGACGGGCGCTTCCCATAGTGAAACAGAATGTTCGCAGGGATGCGTGGGAAAGGGGGGATTTGGGACGGGAAATTGTATATACAGCATCGTTGATGCATCTTGGTTTCGCATTGGTCCCATTCCTCTTTTTCATCATCATTATCTTAATCATCGCCTACAAAAGATTCTGGACTTGCCCAGAAGTCTCTGAAGGTTTCGGCGGAGTCCTTGGGAGGCCCCGGGAGGTCCTGGAGCACGAGCAATAAAAAAATGCAAAAGCTCATCGATTTGAGATCATATTGTGTACCCCTTCTCCTCCCTAGACCCTGGGCATCCGACGTCGTTGAAGCATATTGCGTTTGTTCTTGTCGCCTCTTCTGCCACCACTCAACTTCTCAGAGTTCGGCAAGGCAATTCGAACGAGCGGTGCCAAGATCTGTTCTGTCATATTCTCTCCTCCGTCCTCCCCACTGGACAGGACCCCACCATCCTCTCCACCCCTCCCCCCCTCCTCGTCCCCTTCCCCACTCGCGAGCCTTTACCCCCCCCCCCCACCCCACGGAAAACGTGTTAAACCTTGGCAGAACCCTTGGGCATCCTCAAAGAAACTTTCACCCTTCTTCGTCCTCGCCGTCCCAACTCGAAAGCCTCCTCGTCCTCGTCGTTCGCGTCGTCCTCGTCCTCGTCCTCGCCGTCCTCCTGCTACCGGCTGGGAGGGAACCCGCCCGAGTGTCTCCGCACGGCGCCCCGCGCCAGGATTGCACATCCTTGAAGTCGACGTCTGGCAACCCGAGCGAGTGCAGCCCAGGCTTCCAGCCCGTCAGCCACAAGCCAATTAGTAGTCGTCGTCCGCCTCCTGCTCGTCAAACCCAGACCTTTAACGTCTTAAAAACCAGAGACGAAATTGTTCCCAGATTTCGGCTCCCTGGAGCTAGCGGGGCGACGTCCCATGCGCCTCCAGGCAGGACCTCGTGCTTCAAGGGGGGCTGGCGCAATTGCCTCCACGTTCGTTAGCTCCTGGGAGTCCCAGCGGAGCAACGTCCTACGAGCGCTGGTGCGTAAATGGGGAACGTTGAGTGTGGTCCGTTGTTTTCGGCGAAGAGTTCATGGGGATTGCGGGTCCCCCGATGTGTTCGGTGTTGTTGAGCGGACCCATGTCTGGCCACTGCATTTTTCAGAAAGGGTCGGGCACGCCCCAGAATCTGATTCAGAATAATGACTCTGGGACATTGCAGGTTGATGTCGCCGGCCCGTTTTTTTCATTATTCGGGCTTTAGGCTTCTGTTTTGTGTTGCGGGACCGATGTGTAGCTGTGACATTGTTCGTAGGAACGCACGCGTGCGTGCGCGATGTTCCGCCGCGCGCGTACCGCCAGCACACCAGGCACAAAGCGCAGAGGCACGCACGAACGCGCGGAAGCGTTTACGGTAGATTCGCGTCGTGCCGACGCGGTAGGGACCCCGCCGTTGGCGTTCAAGGTTGAACACCGCCAGCGGTCATTCATCCAACAAGTAAGCGATTATCGTTTTTGGGGGAGCCGCGATCGCACGGTTAAATGATCCATTCGATGTCAGAATCCAACGCAAACGTTGTCACGACACGAATTCTAGACGCTCCGCGTATCCCCACCAGTGCGGGGTACGCCTCGGCGCTGCTGCAGGCGTAGGGACGCCTCGGCGCTGCTGCAGGCTGGCCGCGGTAAGGGAAGGCGCCGCCTGCGTGGCCTGGTGGGTGTCCCCCACTGTGCCTCCGGGGTTCGCCTGCGGCGGCTGCAGTAGCCAGAGCGGGTGACCCGCGGAACAGGCTGCTCAGAGCTCTCCCCCCCCACGGGCCGACCCTCTGCGTCGTCTGCGGCTGGCACCGGTGGGCCTCTTCGCAGCAGGACGACACTGTGGTGCTCGGACAGTCGCTGGTGTCCACCGACATTGAGGGCTGCTGTGCCTGAGTGCCTCGCCTTGAGTGTTGCTGCCTGGTACAGCCCGCGTTTTACGCATCGTCGCACCATCCCCGGGCCTTTCCCGCAGGCGCCGG